CCTGATGTGTGAGAATTTTCACCCTCATGATAAATTTTAATTTGAAAAAATATGTTCCTCCTAGAGGCCCAACCCCTTTCTTGCTAGCACCATTTACATTTTTAAAGCAGCCTCAGTCTTGATAGCCTGCTGAATGGGTTCCATAATGAACAGAGATGCAAAATTGCATGCAATTTCATATAAGGTAAAATTTCATGAAAGTATAACTTCTGCAATAGGCTCAGTAGGCCGTGAAATGCGTAGAATCAGAAAATCTCAATATTTAACAAAATAAGAGTCAAACTCTTAATTTTATTATAAGATAATTTTATGGGTGGTGTACACTCCTCCTAAGAAATCTGTGTACTTTCATATCATGTTAGATTTCATTTTACATCCCTGATAAGTGATGACAAAAAATCTCTGAAAAGAAGGAATGAATGCTGAGGATGGTCGCTCAAGACTCATTCTTCTGGCTGCTACTTTTTCTCTCCTAGAATGCATTGACAAACGGCGACATTGCAGCTTTTGTCTTAACGGGAGAAAACTTCCTTCATTCGACTATCAGGAACTAATATTAACTTGATAAAAATATTTAAATGTAAATTTTAATTAAGTACGTGGTTGCTTCAAGTCCGCTTAAAGTGTGGATCTTGCCCGCGATCCATAAATTCAAAACACCCGCGCAATATGCGCCGCCATCTTAGTTGTTTACATGAAAACGTTGAGGTGCTCGATCCCCGAACATGCACCGCCGCGGTGGAGATTCGGGGTAAATCGCCGAATTCCAACGGTTGACCGTCCAAGCAACACCAACAGTCGCCAGTGATCCGATGTCTAGGGATTTTCCGGAATTTCTAGGGATCTAGGGATTTTTCAGAAAATCTAGGGATTTTTTTTGATGAGACAATGTAAGCAAAAATCGACTTTTTAACCTCAATTCCAGCTTCGACCATCGAAAATATTTTTTCATCCATATTTTTTAGGCCTTTTTGGTCACACTATTTTCCCCGTAAATAAGCCGGAAATTAAAACGATTGCGTCACTCGATGTACTTGACATTCAACTGCATTCAACAGTAAAAAAACAATAATAAGAACTCAACTAATATTATTCTTTCATTTTATTGGTCTGGATTAGCACTGCTTTCAGAGAGCGGCAAAATTCAAACGAGCCAATCAGATTTAAATATTGCAAATCGATACATCGAATGACGTCATGATTCTACGTAAAAAATGGCGGTCTTTTGCAAAATCTAGGGATTTTTTGGGGATATTTGAGCAAATCTGGGGATTTAGGGATTTTTAGCGAAATCTAGGGATTTTTTTTCTTCCCCGCTAGGGATTTAATATCGGATCACTGACAGTCGCCAGTCGTTGGAGACACGCCTGCTCAGTGAAAACATAACCTCAAAATTGAAGAGGTGAGGTTGAGGTAATATTGAAAAAAAAATGAACCCATGAACTCCACGCCTTTCTCTAAAGTAGTAATATCTTCTTTTGATATTTATTATTCATTAATTGCACTATTTGTCGTGAATCTATCAAGTTTCGAGTTCTTTACCTCATATTGTATCAGTATACCCTGAAATATTGTGTGTACAATGTTCTTATACATCGGTGTTTTTAGGTGACTTTATTGTGTCTCGTTTCTTCTTGATCCTCACATTGCTCCCGGTCTTTATACTTACGATCAATTCCTACTCAAATGAATAGAATCAGCAGGATATTCAAATCTCATCTCATCTCTGGTAACTTATTTTTTCTTTTGTCGTAATGCAAAGCTATAATAACTAAGTTCAGCATCTGTAGAGTCAACGCCAAATAAGTTCACGTTCTTCTAGAATGCAACAGAAGATTAGCTGTCCTCAATATAGCACCAAAAATAAATGCGAAAGTACAGATGATGGATTGTCTGTTGCATTCTATCAGTGCGTTCGATGATTTTGCAAGGATTTTTAGGTCTTCCTAGCATAGAGCTTCGATTGGATGTCAGATCAGGATTGCCATATCCAAAAATTATCAAAAGAGACAGGCTAAGCCGAAAAATAAGACACTTTACACATCCAAGGAAGAGGGCAAGTGGAGAAAATTTAAAAGTCAAAGAGAGGACATGTTTGTACGTCAAAAAGAGGACATAAGTTTTAAAAAAAGGAGGGGAGGACATTTATACTTCAAATTTTGTCCGTTTTTCCCTTTTTTTTCTCTTTAGCAATTTAAGGTGAAGATGCACCACATATGCGATAAATTAAAAAATGTGACCAAAAATATGTTGTTTTGATCCACCGTTCGGAAGCAGAAATGAGTTTAAAGTTCGGCTGTTTTTCTCCTTCGTGATGTCTTGACGGTCAGTTAACTTTTTACATATCGAAAATGAATTTGAGAGGTGAGGTATTCTTGAATTTTGGAAGATTTCAAAAATTCAGTTTTTAAATTCATAGTGTTAGAACAGTTCAGTCCTGTAATCTGAAATTCATATCTGAATATCGATTTTTAAAAAAATTGGTGCTCATGGCACGCCAAGGAGCAGAGAGCGTGCAATATTGAGTTTCCATACCCTAATTTTTGAAGGGAAGACCAAAAAGGCATTAGTTTGATCTTAGCTTTGAATGTACTTAGAACAAACACTAATGAATGATTCTGAATGCAACCAAGAAATCATGAAAGAGTAAAAGCAAGAGCGACTGTAGAGCTAAGACTGCGATATGGTTAGGCAGCAAAACAGTGAATCTGAAGGTAGAGAGAGCAATAAATTGCAAAAAAAAAAAAAAAAAAAAAAAAAAAAAAAACCCTTGAAAAATCCTTAAAAACCCGGGCATACCTGCGTGTCTTAGGAACTTCCCTGGACATCCCGGACAGGGTGCTAAAACGAGGACATGTTTGGGAAAAGGAGGACGGCTGGCAACTCTTGCCATACCAGGACCAACACTTTTTGGAATCAATGTCCGACCTTTCCCAACATCCCAATGGAACTTGTTAAAAAAAATTTAAGGTTTCTACAACATGATGATAGGAAAAAATACACATTCCTATTTGTAAAAAAGAAAAAAAATGAATTTTTCAATTTTTCAGCCACAAATAATCTAATGATGTAATGTTTCAGATCAATTCACAAAGTGTAACTCATGGTCTCGAAAGAGATGGGCTCTTTCATATTCAACACAAACTCAGCCTGCCGAAGCAGAAAGTACCTCAGATCTCATTGGCAGCAAAGGTAACAGTCCTACAAATTCAGATAGAATCAATGCAAATCCACAGAATTTTTAGTTTAACCCTTCAGGAAGCCTTAATCCAAAAAAACAAGAGCACTTGCAGCAAACTCAATGAACCCTCACTCTCCCAAGTAGCAGAGATGGCGATAAATAGCGATTTTATCGGTTGGTTATCGGATTATATCGGGGGCAATATATCGAGATATTACCGCATCAAAAATTGCGATATATGGCAATTAAGTTGCTACACATCGCAATTTTTGGTTTGATAAAATCATGATCAATTTTCATCGATATAATCGAGATTAAATCGCCATTTATCACGATTTTCATTAAAAAAATATCGAAGTAAATTGTTGGGCGATAAAAGCGCGATTTTATTGCAGTAAGATCGAGGATAATCGCTCAGATGTTGATGATCCTGGCGATTTTATTGCTGATAAAATCACAGTATATAGCGATTTTTCGGTTGAGAAATGCTACTTGGGCTTATGTTCTTTGTGTTTCAAGAGGAGGTGCAAACATGACAGCTAAATGTAGAATGACATTTTTACTGTCTGTGAGAAATATGTGTAAACTTGTGTAAATTGTCATGAATCTATGGACTCTCTTCAGATACAAAGATTTGGAGTACCTGCAACATTACTGTGAAATCCGGTACAATCTGTTTTTTTGGAATTTTGTGGAAACCCATCGCAAAATTTACTTCCATATCAAATTTATCAAATTTGATTTGTTATTGGCTGAATGGCTGATTTGTTATTGGCTATGTTTGTTGTTGGCTGAATCTAGGTAGCAACAAACTGAATAAAAAAACCACCCATGTATGGAACACTAAAAAATTCAGCGCTGGGTAAATTTCGATATTATTTATATGATGTTCCTTACAACTTTTTTAGCACAGTGAGCCTTTAAAATTCTTTTTTCCATGATCTAATCTCGAGAAAAGCAAGACTAAAAAGTGAACTTTTTGGCTCTCTCACTCGTTTTTTCTAATGAAGATGTGGGTTGGGACTGTTGCTTTGTCTGTATGAACAAGGTGCTGCGCACAGTTATCATTCAAAAGAATTTGATTCTTTTCATCAGCCTTAAGTTCCTAGTCTGCAAGGAAATTAAAGTTTGATCAAATCAACAACAAGATGTTGCACCGTTGCTGCCAGATATCGAGTTTGAAGTAACGAAAAATTCACTGTTCAACCCTGCTTTTTTCAAGATTGGCAAAAAGAAAATTATATTTCAAAAGCTGTTCACTCTCAGTAGATCATAGGGAACATCATGGCATGTAATATTGCAATGGGCTACTAGATAAGAAATATTAAGAATACCACAGAATTAGAAGGAAATGCCTCATATCTGTTTTTCAAAATCTTATGTAGAAAATATTTCACACAACGAAAGGCTCAGAAACCAACTCCTGAAAGAGATTTTAACAAATATTTTCAACACAGAACAAATGGAAGTCAGGCTATTCAAATGATGTCATTTGTATTTTTGCCATTCAGCCAATGTTAATAGTAAACACCTGTATCCTGTTCAGGAGTTGATTTCCAGACTTTTCGTTGTGTGATTCATTTTCCTGGTGAAATTTTGAAGAGGACACGTTTTATAAAGTGGTTTAATTTATACCTTATCTAGTGGCCCATTGGCTGACACGAATTTCTTGGTATTCTGTGCATAGTCTTTTGCCAAGATTTTTCCATTATCACTTGTAGAATACTAGCCCTGAAAGGTTTCAAATTGAGATGTCTAAATTTTTTAATAATGTTCTGTAAGCATAAAATTTAATCCTGTATTATTTTCATTATTTACAGAAGGAACCAAGAGAGTCTCTCCATTGATGCATGAAGATTTTTTCAATGTTCATAGTCTATTCACAATGAATGACCTGTTCGATGCTCGAGTTCATTATGGTCACAAAGAGGGTTCACTCAATAATTTTATGAGGCCCTACATTTTCGGCTCGCGTTTGGAACATCTCATCTTTGATTTGGACAAAACCGCTGAACACTTGCGTCTGGCTCTAAACATAGCTGCTCACATCGCTTACAGAGATGGGATTATACTTTTCATCGGACAGACTCCTCAAAATGCTCATCTTATTGAAGCCACTGCCAAAGAATGCGGTGCGTATGCGCACACACGATTGTTTCAGAAAGGATTGTTCTCAAATTCAACAACTGTATTCAATGGTATCACCAGGTTGCCTGATTTGTGTATTTTCTTTAACACTCTTTCAACTGTTTTGGAGGAGCATAGAGGTGTCGCAGAGGCAGCTAAAATGAATATCGCAACAATTGGGATCGTAGATACAAATTGTGACCCAAGGCTTATCACCTACCCGGTCCCTGGAAATGATGACTCTCCTGTTAGTCAAGAGCTCTATTGTAAATTGTTTAAAGCAGCCATTTTAAAAGGCCAAGAGAGGCGCCGGCTAGATTTTAGGAAAACCATTGCTGAGGATCCTAAACCTGTTGATTTGTCCGAGTAAATGTGCAGAAATTCAACCAAACTATTTATCTGCAATGGAATTATCTTGTAATATAATGGTTTTATTTCTAAATTTGATCCTTCTATTTTCTATCTTTTTTCCTTCGAAAAAAATTCAAGAAGTATCATTAAAATTACATTTTACTTTTCCATTTAATATTTATTATAAAGGATTCTTAAGAAAAGAAAATACCTCAGGTTGATCATAATTGGGTCAATCATTTTGTATAATTAGTGAAACGCATATTAAAAAAGAGTAAAAAACTTTATTATGCTAAATAAAGATGAGGAAGTTTATTAAAATTCCCCTGACAAAAATCTCTTATTTTAAAAGCCCATTTATTTAATTATTTCAGTTATCACAAAAAGTCTATATCTCTCGCAAATTTATTTGATCATAAACTCAACATTAACCAAGAGATAGGTAGCAGGTACCCAAAGTAAACTTCTACCAAAGAAAAATTTCAAGAATGCATACCTGAAGTTAAGTGTGACAGTGAATTTTACAGATTTGCATAAAAAGTAGTAGTAACTCAGTCTTAAAGTATGGGTTAATTTTACAATATTCAAAATGTCATAGTGCAAATCTTTCCAATTGTATATTGAGAACATTTAGTAATTAGTGATAGAACAAGTAAATTGAATTGAGCAGATTCTCTTATTTACATGTATGTCTTGGTCAAATCATGCATTTAATTTTGAGAAGTGAAGAGTGTTTTGTTACTTATAATAAGGTACAGCTAATAGTATGAAAAATATCCATGAATGTTCCATGAAGTTAACTACTTCTTTGCATGAAAAGTTGTTTATTATGAAATTCTGAGAATCATCATGAGACAAGAAAATTTCTTGTCGACAGAAGAAAAGATTTTTTTTTTTTTTAATCTTTTGATATATTGTGGAAAAATTACTGAAAAAATCTTAGGATCTGCCCCAGCAAACCACATTTTCAACTAAAACTGAAGTTTTGCCTCTGAAATGAAAGAATTTAGGGGGGGGGGGGAGAGATATAGCTTGCGATCAGAGAAGAAAATTGAAAAATGTTATGAAGTGTACAAACCTTCAACTCAGTGTCTACAATGTAGCTGTGGAACAAATTCCTGTTACAAACTGTACAAAATCTGAATCGAGCGATTTTTCGAAAATTTGTGAATTTTCTGTCTTGGTTTGAAAAGCACCCAACTCAGGTCTTTTTTTTTGAAATTGACTTTTAAGCCGAATAATAGCCCCCATGAATCAAAAACTCAGTTTTTTTTTGGTTTCCTGAAAAATTTTGAGTGTCTCAGCTGGGAACTCCTAGAAACAGGCTGTTTGATGCCTGACTTCCTCTTTTGTTTCATATTCTAATTGAAAACTAAGTCCCATAATGCCTTGAAATTTTCTGGGTAATGATAAAGGATGGTGACAATGAAACTGTAAAAACGCGTAATTCGTTTTCACTGTTTCAAAATCTTTTCCTCCATTTTACTGCAAAGGAGAACAACCAACACTGTTGCTCACAATTTTCACAGAATATTTTTCACACAGTGAGGGTAAACCAGAGAGATTTTCAATTAATTACATTGAGTATTCTTCTTCATGAAAAATAAACTATGAAAGGAAGTCTGCAGCGTTGCAAACTGAGATACATATTTTTGCAGTGTCACTGTCTATATATACTCCCTCTATTCCAAGGCGAAATGTTGCTGTTAGAATCTTCAGGATCTTGGTTCTTATTAAAAACGACTTCATACTTAATATTGACTTATTTATTCATCTTTCCACAAAGGAGTTACTACAAGGAGAAGTACAGAGTGAACAAGTTGGAAGAAAATTACAAGCGAGCGTTTCAATTCTATTATCTTGTCGATCAAGTAATTAAGGTTAATGAGAGTGAGACAGATTCACTTGTTGATAATGCTGATGCGGTGCGGTGATATTCTAACAGTTGCATCATTTAGTTTTCTGTCAGAAATATGAAGTAGAAGAAAGTGGGCAATGTGTGAGTAGGTACTCAATACAGTCAAGCTACCTCTGAGTGATTGAGCCAGGCTCAATTGTAGTGCAATTTTCTCAGAAGCACCTAACTGGATGCATCATTTCTTTTGCTTTCATCTACTGCTACTTTTGTATCCCTGAGTTTTTGCAAGGCACTAGCTCCAACAAATCTACCAAGCGAGTTAGTTATCACAGGACAATATACAGCAATATACACAAGAGGTAAAAGCGGAAAGAGCCCCATCCACACCTCATTCAGTTCATTTGCAATCGCTATCGCGGACAAGTATGCGCAGCGTTCCGTTGTCATTCTGCGATCTGTTGCAGATTGGGGCTGCCCAAATTTCTCCCCTGGTTTGTCTGTAAAGCTTTCAGCAAGGAAATTGCTGAATGTTGGGCCTGGGCACAACAGTGTTATGGCAAGATTTGTACCTAATTTTTCTCGACGTAAAGAATTGAAGTAACCATGAATAGCATGTTTAGTTGCGGTGTAACTGCCAGAGAAAGGTGCTCCCAAAACACCAGCTATGCTTGATGTCACTGCAATATGACCAGATCCTCTGTCTAAAAAGTATCTTGCTGCTATCCGAGACAAGGATATTGTTCCAAAAACATTTAGGTCAAACATTTGTTTGTCCACATCCAATTGAATGTCCTCCCAGCTTGCTCGCTGTGATCTACCGGCATTGTTTACAAGGATGTCCAACTGGAAACAGATGAAAAAACTTTGAAAGGAATCGCTTTACATAAATCAAGTAAAAATATTTTTTAACACCTGTGTAAATATATTTTTTATGAGCATTTCAATATCCCATTATCCGCACTTGTTACTTCTCATAAAGATAAACAATGAAGGCGTGAGATTATAAGAAACTTGCAAAATAGTCGAGAAAAGAATGCACCTACATCTCGGGAAAAATAACTTTAAAAAAACTTTTCACTTTAAACTTGAGCGTGCCTCTCTCTTTATTTTTTTTTATTTTTTTTTTTTCATAATATTTTTCAACAGTGCATCCTCTCCAATTTTTTTTTAAAATTTACTTTGGAATTATGTAGGTATCTAACTCTTCACAGAATGTACTTAAAATGAAATATGTGATTTTTTTACATTGAATCAGAGAAACAGAGCTAGGTTTAGAAAATGAAAAAATGGAAGGGGGGAAAAAAACAGCAATTAGAGGACATAGCAACACCCTTAAAAGACAAGTTAATTATCTACAGCTAATTTGTAATCATAATATAGTCTTACCTGACCAAAATGGCTCAATACTTTGTTAAAGTGCTGTTGATGCTGACTGAAATCAGTGACATCCATTGGTATAATGAGAATATCCTCTGATGTAATTCCATCTGCTCCTGTGAGGGAAAAGGAGACAAAAATAAAAAAGTTGAATGTACTACGTAAATAAGTGTGCTCAACCCTGGAGTTTTTGAACTCAAGAACTTCCTTTTCCAAAGTTAGTTGGTATTAATTGAAAAGTGACACCCCCCCCCCCCCNTTTTTTTTTTTTTTTTTTTTTTTTTTTTTTTTTTTTTTTTTTTTTTTTTTTTTATCATTCATTTACAATATTTTTACATCATTTAGTCCATTTATGCCAATTTTAAACAATCAACAAAATGAACTCCATGTGTCAGAAAGAAAGGAAAATTGCAACTTATTTAAACTTTATTGCGATGAGTTTCAATAAACGGGGCCCCTTCAAATAGGAGCTAGGCAACAGACACAACACTCAGTGGAATTGCAATTTTTTACAATGTAATTGCCACTTATTGCAATCTGTGCTACTTGGTTATATATGGAACACCCTGTGCCCGTACCTAAAGAAATAATGTTTCTTTCAAGTCTTATTTTTCGTACATGTGGAGCGATGATCGAGAATAATTGACCTAAATAAGTATGATCAATTTCATTTAAAACATTTGGTTTCGAAGTGGCGAGGCGTGAACGTTCGATTATCGATAGTTCTCTACTTGAATGAAGCTATGGAAAATAATCGATTATTAAGTTGTTCGCTACGGGAACCCTGTTTATCGATCTTTTCCCATAGGTTTAAATGGCAGATCAATCGATACATCGCGAAACATGCCACGCTACTGGTTTGTTGATAACTCATGAAGGTTATCAAACGAAGCACCTTCTTACTGCGCACTGAACATTAGAACATGAGCCTCTCATTAACGAGACAAAATGGAAATGAATCTAATGCACGCTCAGACGAGTTATATCTAGGTACGCGGGGTTTGTTTTCAGTTCTTACCTAAACATTTTTGCTTAACTCTTTCTAAATTAGTTTCACTTCGAGCAGACAGCACGAGTTTCGCTCCGGCCTTTGCAAGAACCAACGCCAAGTGCTCGCCAATCCCACTTGATGCTCCGGTGATCCAGACTACTTTTTTGTTAAATTTCCCTGTAAAAGATAGAGGAATGCGTGAATTATAATCGTGAAATATTAAATGATTTCCTATGAACTTATCATTGCGAGGAAACGACTGCTCGATGCCGCCCGCCCTCTCCGTTTTGAGTGTTAAAAGAACCGTGCGCGCGATATATCCAGCCAAGATCTATCAAATATTTGACATCTACTTTTTATCAGAATAAGTGGATTTTAGGAAGGTCTAATCCTCGACACATTCGCTCTTTTCGGAAGCTTATCTGGAAAATGAAAGAAGGTTTTTTGCCCGAGGTATGTACCGAGAGACGAGTTGTAAGGAGGAGTCATTGGATCGGGCTGCTGTGTAGTCTTGAGGCTTAGCCCCCCCNAGCAGTAAAATATGAATAATATAGAGGTGCATGTAAGACGCAATGAATGAAGTGTGGCACCGGGCCTCATTGAAAAGCAATGATATACCTAATTCCTCAACCCTCATGGCATTACGCTCGCTCTAAAAATTTACCTTCAAATAGATGAATATGCAACCCCATGACAGCCGTGTCCGAATAGTTATCGCTCAAATGACAGAATTATTCCAGGCGCATTGTTAAAAATTGGCGGCTCGTTTTAATATCACGGAATGGAGGGCTCTCCTTTGTCGGGCAAATTTTATTTTAAAATAACCAATTGATGATCATGTTCTAATAGTCATTTAAAATTGATATTGAAATCCTTAAATAATTCAACACTTGATGAAGTAGCAAGTTAAAAATCGTCGGCTCATTCTGCTCTTTCGAAAAGTGAGACTCACTTTTTGACGTGCGTGAAATTGTGGCTTAAAGATAAGGCAGAGTACACACGATGATCAATTTTCTCACTGCGAGTCTCGTTCGGTAGAGTTCGCCTTCAATAAGTATGATGGCAATATGGGCGGCATGGGAGCCCGAATAGTTGCGCGTAGTAATTTGGCACGTTGGCTCGCAGGCGCCATATCATCCAAAAGCCTCCTAGTGGATCGAGTTAATAGAAGTCGCGGACAAAATCTGGAAACTTTAAACGCTTGTATCTTCGTTTATACAAAGCTTTGAGGTTCTAAAAGTGGGTCTATTGGTTTCCTTAAGAAATTTTCTACTGTAAGCACCCCTAGAAATTTAAAATGTGACGAAATAAACATCAAAATTTGCAGTTTTAGTCAAAATTTTCATGTCCGACCTCTTTGATTGACTCGATCCACTGTGCGCCAATGGGAAATAATCACATGCCGAATGAATTTTATGATCGCCCGTCCAAAATTGGTTCAATAAATGTTTTCCTCAATTTACACGGATAATTTCATTTTTTGCATTTCAAACACGTTTTTCCTCTTCAATCGTCTCGTCAAGTTTTTATTTACGTTTTTATGAAGCTGTGGGAGGGTGCGGTGTTACTGGAGAATTTTCACTATCTGCCCCCCCCTTCCCCTCCTCTCGTTATGGAGTTAAATGCATGGTCCAGCTATGAAGGGGGGCGTGGTAAGGTGAGAATTGTGCTCATGGAAACTGGGCGTTTGTGACGTTTACGTAATAATAAAGGTAGGAGTGCACGCAATTTCAATTTCCAAAATTAGGTAGTCGATTTTTGGCTACTCATAATGAAATCAAATAAAAAATTTGCCGAATTTCACCACAATGATATGCAAACTCAGGCTATGCTTCAATAAAAAGCAATGTGCAAGAGGACATCCTCTTGCACATTCCCTGGTAAAAATTGGCGATAGGAGCTGCGTTTCAAAATACCATAGGAGTTCTTAAAGTCGACTAAAGAAAGCTATTGAAAATCATATAGCTGGCTGTAGAAAGCGGAACAAATCATATAGCTGGGCTATACGAAGCTATAAAAAAGTATACAGTCGGGCAATAGGGTTCCTATCGCCGGGCTTTACACTTTATCGCCATTGGCTATAAAAGGCTATAAGAAATTGTGTAGAAATTCGTGTGCTTTGGAAATCATTAAGTTTGATATGGAACTACCTTAATATTTACAAAACACACATTATATTTTCCTTTAAAACATTTTTTTATTCATCAATTAAAATGAGAATAATCCATACAGAGTGTGTAAACATTTCAAAATCATGAGTCGAAAAACGCTGAATCGGCGAGACTAAATATTAGAGCCTCACACAACGCGGAGCGGCGACGCACTGGCGCCGACAAACCTAACAGGGATACTTCACACATTGCGCAATGCGTGAAGTATCCCTGTTAGGTTTGAAGGCGCCAATGCGCGTTCAGCGCTGGCTGCCCGCCCGCCGCGCCGCAGCGTGCCACGACATCTGAAGCAACTGTTTCACACCAGATGTATTGCACAGTATCATAAGAAATTGAAGGCGCTCCAACATATTAAGAATGACGCAATCATACTCTATGACTGAAGTGGTAAGTGTAAACTCATCGGATAATTTCGAGTTTTTTGATTTTTTGTTGAAATTTTTATTCGAGAAATGTTCCAATATCAGGATCTGCAAGCACGAAGTGGGAATCGTTGATGACGAGACATTTTTGCAAGAGAGGGTAATCAAACCCACGTCGCAGCACGGTTCTCTGAATAAATGAATATTTAGCACGCTTGCGAGAATTTTGAAACATTAATTCGTTGCGAACAACACAAATACAGAGAGACGCTGCTTTTCTAACGAAGAACACTATGTATGAACATTCGAGTATTTTCGAATTTCTTTCAATCAAATATTCATTTTCGAGATGAGTCATGAATTTAAGTATTTTCTTTGATTTTCAAGCTCTTGAATTCCGAATGAAATTTTCCGCAAAATTTGACGAAACCCGCGAGTTTTCTGGAAATTTTACTATTTATTGGGAGAGAGTTGGCAACATCCAAATATTCATAGGGCGCTATTCTCCAAAATGGCATGATGAGTCAAGAAAAAAAGTAAATATTTGCGCTCGCTCGAGAGGTTGAAGACGAAATTTGTGAATGAGTCGTGAGGCTACGAAAAAACGTACAGCATTTTTGCCACCCTTTTCTTATCTTACTATAGTAAAAAAAAATAAGGCCTTTTTTGTGTGTACGTCCGTGTCATTTCGCATTCTCATTGGTCTTTCATTAACCAATCAGAAAACGTCATTGAAAATCCCCGGGAAATTTAAATGTATTCATCCGTAAAGGAATTATTGATAGGTAGACAGGTATAAAAATGGGATGTATTTCTTCTAATAACCAGGATAAAAGGGAGGATTATTACCTATACAGGATAGTCCTAGAAAAACGGGATGTACCTATATTAATAAACCGGGATAACAGGA